ATGCATGCATGCATGCATGCATAGGGCCCCAAAAGATGGTTGCATGCATGCAAGATGATTGCATGCATGCAAGCATGCAAATTTGCATGCAAGCATGCAAATTTACACAACCAAAGCATGCATGCATGCGTGCATGAATGGGGTTTGTGGATGTGGGGCCCTGCATGCATGCATGCATGCATGCATACATGCATGCATGCGTGGGATGTGTGGGTGTGGGGCCCTGGGGCTTTTGAGGGCCTCTGCTGCACAGGCGCATGCAGGCGCACAGGCCCGGCAGCATATGGCGGCGCTGCTGCTGCATTTGTGCTGCAGCAGCGCCGGGAGATGCTGCTGCTGCAGATGCAGCAGCATCTGCCGGCGCTGCTGCTGCATTTGTGCAACAGCAGCAGCCCTTTTGGGGCTTTGCTGCTTCGGGTTTGTTTCAGATTTCCACCTTTTTGACCCACAAGCAGCAAAAATCAACAAATGAAGCAACAGAAAAAAACTCTGCAGACGCGGGACTGCGGGCGCTGCGGTGTACGTACACCTCAAGCTCCAGCCGTTAAAGCTAACACCCAACCAGCCAGCCATTTAGGGTTTAGGGTTTAGGGTTTAGGGTTTAGGGTTTATGGTTTAGGGTTTGAAGCAGACGGCTGCTACGGGCGAGTCACTAAACAAGTTTGCCGGCATTAATTAAATAATTATTGGCTGTATTAACCAAATATGTATTATATTAATTAAATATTCATTATATTAATGAAATATTAGTTATATTAATTAAACATTTATTATATTTTTATAATAATAAAAACCTATCCATTTGCTGAACTTCAGGTGTATCGACACCTCCCGCTGTCGCAGCTGAGGTGTACGTACACCTCAAAAAGGCCGCACTGCATTTGGCCGCAGCGGCCGGAGAGCCAGGCAGCAGCAGCAGCAGCAGCAGCAGCATGAACAGCAGCGGAAGCAGCATCAGCAGCAGCAGCAGTACCAAAAGCAGCACCACCACCAGCAGCAGCGTCAGGAGTACCAGCAGCAACAGCAGCAGCAGCAGCAGAAGCAGCAGGAGCAGCAAAAGTAACTGCTGCGCTGCACGGAAGCAGCAAAAGCTTTTGAGAAGCAATTGCACTCCCCAAGGTTTGGATGAAAGTTGAAAAGACAATTAAAAAAGGTGAAAGGAAAAGAAAGGGAAGAAAGAAAATGAAAAGAAAAGAAGATGAAAATACAAGAAAATGAAAATAAAAGAAGGAAGATGAAAAAAGAAAAGGAGGAAAGAAAATAAAGAAAAGAAATGAGAAAAGAAAATCAGAAAGAAAGAAAGAAAGTGAAAAAAAAAGAAAAATGGAAAGAGAAAGAAATAAAGTAAATCAAGAAAAAAAGAAATAAAAAAACGCGAATGAAGAAGTAAATTGAAAAAGAAAGAAATAAAGAAAGGAAAGAAAGAACTCAAAAAAAGGAAAGAAGGTGAAAAAGGCAAAAAATTAGGAAAAAAGAAAAAGAAATAAAGAAACAAATCGAAAAGAGAAACAAATAAAGGAAAGTGGAGGGAACAAATAAAAAACAGGAGAAAGAAAGTGAAAAAGAATAAGAGAAAATAAAAAGAAATAAAGAAATAAATTCAAAAAATAAATAAATGGAAACAAAAATATACAATTGGACAGACCGGGGATTGATCCCGGGACCTCCTGAATGCAAATCAGGCGTGATACCACTACACCATCCGCCCCGTTGTGGCCGCTGCTGCTGCTGCTGCTGCTCAGAGGCGCAACAGCAGCAGCCCCGCGTTCGCAGCGGCCTGCAGCAGAACAGCTGCAGCAGCTCTGCTGCTGCAGCCGCCCTGCGCTACCTGGTGGAGAGACCGCTGCTGCTGCGGCTGCTGCTGCTTCTGCAGTTTGCTGCTGATGGGGGGAGCAGCAAATCATCAAAGAATCCAGGGCGGATGGTGTAGTGGTATCACGCCTGATTTGCATTCAGGAGGTCCCGGGATGAATCCCCGGTCCGTCCAGTCTTGTCTATTAATTGTTCTTTTTATCTTTTTGCTGCTGCTGCTGCAGCAAAGTTTTGGCTTTTCAAGAGCCCTGCTGCTTTTGCTGTTTTTGTTCGAAGTGGCTGCCGCTTCGGCTGCTGCTTCCCGCAGTCATTTTATTATTTAAAAGCTGCCAATGAGCCTTTTGTGTTCATTTAGAGAGGCTTTGCTGCTGCATGAGTTTATTTTTGCTGCTTCTGCAGCCCTCCTGCACCAGTTTGGGGTGTACATACACATCCTGCAGGCCGCCTTTTGCTGCAGAGCTCTTTTGAATCTTTTGGAGGCCAAAATGCCAAAAAAGAAAATCTTTAAAGACAAGAAGCAGCTCCTGCAGAAGCAGGATGCTTCTGCTGCAGCAGCAAGAAGCAGTGCAGCCTCTGCTGCAGGAGCAAGCAGCAGTGCGGCCTCTGCTGCAGCAGCAGCAGCAGCACCAGCAAGGCAACGCGGCACTCCGGCAGCTCTACAGAGAAGAAGTCACGGCTCGACTTGTAGGGCTTTGGGGGAGCTGGGAGAGCAGCAAATTAAGAAATAAAAAGATTTAAAATAAAATTAAAAACAAAATTAAACGAAGTAACTTAATCGCATGCGGCCTACTGAGCTGTCAAGACACCCGAAGAACCCACGGCGCCGAGAGCCCGGCGGTGATGCAAAACGAAGTCAACATTAAATCAAAATTTTGAAATAAATGAACTGAATTAAATTTAATTTAATTTAAGTAAAAGATTTCAACAAATTACTTTCAAGCTGTTCAAACGAAGGATAAGGACACAGAAGATGCCCGAGCACGCCGCGCTGGGGGCCCCCCGGCTGTGGGCCGCTGCGGCTCAGTCAAATGAAGTAATCAAATGGATTAATGGAACTATAAATTAAATTAAAAGAAATTAATGATTAAAATTATAAAAATGTTTAAATGCTCCTTTCATTCTGCTGCGAATAGCCTGCGCATACACCGCAGCGCCTTCGCATGCAGCCCGGACTCACCAGCCTTTGCTCTCGGGGCCCCCCGCTGGTATTTTTAGTTTATTTTAATCAAAAAGGCAAATATTTGTTAGTTAATGCCCATGTTATTGATAATTTAATACTCATTTCGCGTTTAAACCGGATTGCAGGGGCCGGGGGCCCCCCTCTGGCCCCTTCCCTCTCTCATTTCGGGGGCTTTGACTTACCCATGCATCCCAGCTAGGCCCCCTGAGGCTGCTGCCAGTCCTGCAGCAGCACCTGTGCATCCTCTGTGCTGCTGCAGCGCAGCAGCAGCTCCGCTGCAGCCGTTTTGCTGCTGCAGCGCAGCAGCAGCAAAAAGGATGCAGCGGCGCCTGCGGCTTCGCTGCGCAGGCCAGAGACCGCAGCTCCCCCGCCTGGGGACCCCCTCCCTTTGGGGGCCCCCCCCCTCTGCTTCTCCAACAGCAGCAGCAGCAGCAGCAGCAGCAGCGGGAAAGGACTGCAGCAAAGGCCCCCGCGGGGCCCCCAACTGCGCAGGCCCTGCTGCAGCAGCAACGCGCCCTCTGTCTTATATCTCTCGTCTCTTCCGCAATTTCCTTCCTGGCTCTGCAGCAGGGGGCCCACCTGAGGGGCCCCTACAGGTAGGGGGGCCCCCCTGGGGCCCCCAGAAGGGTCCGGGGGGCCCCGAAGAGGCCCCAGGGGGCCCCCCGGGGACGCTGCCCGGAGAGCCACCCGCAGCAGCCCCTGCTGCTGCTGCTGCTGAAGCGGGCCTCGCAAAGCTTTCCGGGGCAGCCCTGGGACCAATACCTGCAGCAGCAGCAGCAGCACGTGCAGCAGCAGCAGCAGCTACTGCTGCGCCTGCTGCTGCTGCGGACGGGGCCCAGCGGCAGACGGAAGCAGCAGAAGGTGCAGCGCCAACAGCACGCTTGCGAGGAGCAGCAGCAGCAGCGCCAGCAGCAGCCACAGCGGCAGTAGCAGCAGCAGCTGCAGCAAACCGCACCGATGCTGCAGCAGGGCCGCAGCAGGGATGGAGGAGTGACCGCGGGGGGCCCCCAAGCAGCAGCATTTTGGTCAGGGGGCCCCTGCTTAGTGGGGGCCCCCCGAGGGGGCCCCTCTCTAGTGGGGGCCCCCGGAGGGGACCCCTGCCGCAGATCTCTGTTGCTGCTGAAGTTGTTTTGAGGCCCCCGCCGACTTCGCTGCAGCTGCTGCGCGCGCGGCTGCCCGCAGCAGCAGCACCAGCAGCAGCAGCAGCAGCAGGAACAGTAGGCCCCTTCTCAGGCTTTTTGGACAGCAGCGGCAGCAGCAGCAGCAGCAGCGGCGGCAGCAGCAGGGGTCAGTCAGAACTGCCTTTGTTCGGATTTCGCGCAGGTGGGGCTGATGACCCTGCAGCAAGCATGTGCTATAGCCAGCAGCAGCAGCAGCAACAGCAGCAAGCAGCAGCAATGGACCTATTCAAAGGCAGCGCTGCATTGCTGCAGCAGCAGCCAGTGGTCTTGCCTGACAGTGAGACGGCTATCTACAGCGCGAGGGTGCAGGAAGCACTGAAGCAGCTGCAGCAACAGCAGCAGCAGCAGCAGCAGCAGCAGCAAGTGCCTCCAGGCAGGAATCGAAAAGCTGCTGCTGCAGAGAGCCCCACAGGGCCGCAGCAGCCGTCAGTCCAGCTGGCGCTGCAGATGCTGCGGCAGCAAGCTTCTTCAGGCAAAGTAGCAGCAGCAACAACAACAGCAACAGCAGCAGCAGCAGCGGCCGCAGCAGCAGCAGCAGCAACTGCAGCAGCAGCAGCAGGCGAGCCATTAAAGAGAATGTCCCTCAGGAAGGCTGCGCACCTTCAGGAGCAGCTGCAGGAGCAGCTGCAGCAGCAGCAGCTGCTGCTGCAGCAGCAGCAGCAGGAACGGATCGAAGCTGTTGCACGGGCAGTGCGCCAGTATGACGCTGTGAGGCTCCCCCCTCCCATCAGCAGCAGCACCAGCGCCGATGCAGCAGCAGCAGCAGCAGCAGCAGACCCAGCAGCAACTGATGTTTTCGGTGACCCGCAGCAAAACCCTGCTGCCGTGCTGCAGTCAGCTCTTGGGGCCCTAGAGGCGAGTGTGCTGCAGGGGGTCTCCACTGCAGCAGCAGCAGCAGCAGCAAAAGGCAGCCCAGCAACAGAAACGAGCCCGACAGCAGCAGCAGCATCAGAACCAGCCTCAACGGCAACAGCAGCAGCAGCAGCAGCAACCCCAGCAGCAGCAGCAGCAGCTGGCGCTAGCAGCGACTTGCGGGTCGAGCTGCTGAGCCACCTCTCCTGGATCCGCTGGGCCCTTAAGCGAGTGGGAGTTGCTGCTGTGGGGCCCCTTGAGCTGCTGCTGCAGCGCGCAGCAAAACAGCTGCGGGGCCCCAAGGGGGGCCCCCAGGGGGGCCCCCCGCTGCAGCCTAGGCTGATCTCTAGGCGGCTGGCGACTCCTTGTCTATTTGCCCTCAGGGAGTGGGTGGCGCAGCAGCAGCAGCTTGCTGCTGCTGAGCAGCAGCAGCAGCAGCTGCAGCAGCAGGAGGAGGAGGAGGAGCAGCAGCAGCAGCAGCAAGTTGCTGCTGCACTGGCTGAGCTGCTGCACAGAGCAGCAGAAGAGACCTTCCAGAAGCACGGCCTGGCCCTGCCCCGCATTCAAACCCTCACAAGTCTTTTGCTAGATGAAGCTTCTGCAGCGCGTTCGCAGCTGCTGCTGCTGCAGCAGCAGCAGCAGCAGCAGGAGCAGCAGCAGGCGCGGGCAGTGCCAGCCGCTGATGAGGGTGCGGAGCCCACAGAAGGAAAGGCGAAGGAGCAGAGAGCGGCAGCAGCAGCAGCAACAGCAGATCCAGCAGCAGCAGCAGCAGCAGAAGGCGACGCAGCAGAGCCGGACGCTGCAGCAGCTTATCTCGAGTCCCTACGTAGCCAAGCTGCAGCACGGAGGCACCAGTTCCTGCTGGACTTTGCTCAGCAGCAGCAGCAGCAGCAGCAGCAGGAAAGCCTGCGTTCAGCGGCAGCAGCAGCTGCTGCACCTCCGCCACTCTCCCTCCTGCACCCAAGCGCCCCCGGGGCCCTCCTAGGGCCCCCCTTAGGGGCCCCCCAGGGGACCCCTAAGGGGGGCCCCCTGGGGGCCCCCAAGGGGGCCCCCAAGGGGGCCCCGGCAGGTTCTGGGGGCCCCCCCGGGGGGACCATGGGGGCCCTGGACGCAAACAATATAACTGTGGCGCTGCTTGCTGCGCATCTGCAGCAGCAGCCAGAAAGGGTACTGACCCTGGCGAAGGCGCTGCTGGAGGGGCCCCCGGGGGGCCCCCAGGTGACCCTGGGGTCCAGCTTGACTGAGGAGGAGGCGGAGTTCTTGAGTGATGAGTTGAACTGCCTGCACAGGCTCAGACTCAGCAGCAGAACTGGACTGCAGCAGCAGCAGCAGCAGCAGCAGCAGCAGCAGCAGCAGCAGCAGTGGAGGGCGCCCCCGGTCGTTGCTGTGCTCGGCCATGTCGACCACGGCAAAACCACCCTCTTGGACGCCCTGCGCAGGTGCTGCTGCTGCTGCAACTACGTGCTGCTGCTGCTGCTGCGTGCTTCTGCTGCTGCTGCTGCTGCTGCTGTTAGTGGTTGCTGCTGCGGCAGGCTGCTGCGGCTGCCACTGCTCGCCGCTGGTGCTGCAGCTGTCGCTGGTGTCTTCTGCTGCCTGCTGCTGACGTGAACTCAGGCGTTTTTTGCCCTTGAGGCGCTAGGGTTTAGGGTTTAGGGTTTAGGGTTTAGGGTTTATGGTTTCAGGTCGAGTGTGGCGTCCACTGAAGCTGGGGGCATCACCCAGACGGTGAGCAGCAGCAGCTTCAGCCTGCCCTGCTCCGCCCCCCCCCCGCAGCAGCAGCAGCAGCAGCAGCAGCAGCAGGTGACCTGCGTGGACACGCCGGGGCACGCAGCCTTCGCGTCGATGCGGCGGCGGGGAGCAGCAGCAACAGACATTGCGCTGCTGGTGGTTGCTGGAGATGAAGGAGTAAAACCCCAAACTTTGGAAAGTTTGAAATTAATAAAAGACAAAAATATTCTTTCCATTGTTGTTGTCACCAAGATGGACAGGCCGGGCGCCAGCGTCGAACGGTGCGCTGCTGCTGCTGCTGCTGCTGCTGTTACGCGGCTGCTGCTGCGCTGCTGCTGCTGCTGCTGCTGCTGTTACGCGGCTGCTGCTGCGCTGCTGCTGATGCGCTGATGCTAGTGAGACGCTGCTGCTGACGCGATGCTGCAGCTGCGCCGCTGCTGCTGCTGCGCTGCTGCTGTCCTTTGTGTCATGCGGCTTGCACTTTTGTCTTTTTTTTTGCCATCTGAGGTCTATTTTGCTGCTTTTTTGCTTCATTTAAATTTGAAAAAACAAAAACAATAAATAATAAACAACACATAATATAAATAAAAAGAAGCAAAAAAACCAAATAATCGGATAAATGCCACTACAGCAGCGCGAAAGAACTGCTGCATGCAGCAGCAAACTTCTGCCACCCCACACATTCCTAAAAGTCATTTTTTACTTTTTACACCTATTAGTTTATTTTTAAATTAAAAGTACCATTTTAATTGAATAATTCACTTTTGAAAATGCAGGGGCCCCAAGGTGCATGCATGCATCTCACTTTGGCAAAAATGAGAAATAAAAATACTTTTGAAAAGCCACGAGAAGAGTTTTTAAATTTCTTTTTGCATGCATCTTTCCAATTTAATAAATTCATAAATGCCATTTAAATGTTTAAGTGCCATAAAAGTGCATTTGCACGCATTTTGTGCTGCTTTTCTCCTTCTATAATTCACTTTTCCCTTGCTGCTAGCCATTGCTGCTGCTGCTGCTGCTGCTGCTGCTGCAGCGTGAAGAAGCAGCTCGGGGCTCTGGGCGTTGTGAGCTACGAAGACGGCGGCGATGTCCCGGTGCGCTGCAGCTGCCCACTAGCCACAGCTCTCGAACTCACGCTTTAGGGTTTAGGGTTTAGGGTTTAGGGTTTAGGGTTTAGGGTTTGTTGCTGCGCAGTTTGTGGGCGTGAGTGCGAAAACTGGAGAAGGGCTGGAGGAGTTGGGTGCGGCGATTTCGCTGCTGGCGGGGTCATTGGACCATTTGCTGCTGCCGGGCCCGCCGCCCTGGGGGGCCCCAGGGGGGCCCCCGGGGGGCCCCCCGGGGGGCCTCCCGGGGGCCCCCGCGAGGGGCCTCGTGCTGGACTCTGTAGTGGACCCTAGCCGGGGCCGTCTTCTCCGCGTCATTGTCCGTTCGGGGTACTTCAGAGAAGGCTCTTGGGTGGCTGTGGGGCCCCACTTTGCCCGCATTAAGCGCCTTTACAAGCCCCCGCAGCCGGGGGGGCCCCCGGGGGGCCCCCCCGGGGGCCCCCCC